ATGGATGTTAGCCCAGGGCCAGTCTTCCTCAGCAAAAAAGAGGAGGATTGGCATTGGATGTTAGCTCAGGGCTGGTCCTCCTCACAAAAAAAAAAAAAAAAAAAAAAAATCTTACGGAAACAATAAAGTTTTACAGATGAACCCATCCTGAAAATAGTAAAATCCAGAGTCTGAAGACTTCTAGAATAACAATAATATGCAGTTTATCATTCTTCCCTTCTTTACCTGGTTGTCATTCCATCACTGTATTAATCAATCAATCAATACTTATTGAATACCAGTGGTCGCCAAATTATGTGGAGTATTACAGAGGGGATACACACACAAAGCAGAAATCATAGTTCCTGCCCTTAAGGTATTTATAGTTGGAAGTGCTTAAGTTATTATATGTAAAAAAAGCAAAGAGCAGTTAAATATTACACAGTTGGAAATTGGCTAAAAGTGCCACGGAAACACAAAGAAGAGACATTATTGTGGACCGAAACTAGTGGAAGGAGATTTTATGAAGGAGGCAGGACCTGAGCTGGATCTTTAAGGATGGGTAGGAGGGAGACGAAGGGTCTTCCAGATGGGTGGATATGCAGGAACACAGGCATAAAAGCTGGAAGAAAAATCATGCTGACGCTTCTTACATTCCCTGTTAGAAGCCAAAGTAAGGTGCGACTCTTCCAGCCAGTGCCAGGCTATGAGTACCAGGCCAATATTACTTGAGGAGAAATGCTACCTTGGGACAGTGACAGGTGGCACTATTATTTGGGAATCAATTTGAGTCTTACTGTTCTGTGTCTGCAACAGGTGTGCTGTGGATATTTTAACTGAGTGATTAAAGAAGCTCATGGGGAGTAGCTGAGCACTGGTGGTCCTGTTTAAAAAATAGGCAAGAAATTTAGAGTGCTGGCTAGGTTTTAGGAATTTAGGGAATTCATGTCTTAATTTTTGCTACAATTTGACTTGCTTATTTAGCCTAACTATGCTTCACCTAGTAAAATCCTAGTGCTTTGACAGCTTAGCATCCAGAAAGATTTGCCTTTGAAGCCCATTTTGTGACTTTGGAAGTTATCTTTCTGAGTCCAGTCTGTAAATGAGGGAGAAAAACTTGGCCTCACTCAATGATTGTGAGGATGAAATGAAAAAGATATTCAAAATACGGCACATATTTTTCCTCTTTCTTTTTTCACTTTCTCAGTTCAAGTAATATGTAACTATATGCAAGAAGACCACATCACTTAGCATACAAACTTGTGACATTTTTTGGAGTAAAAGGGAGCATTAACGAAAATTACACTGGGGCACAGTAGTAAAATGAGACTGACCCTTACTATATTTCTTTATGAAAAGAGAGGAAAAAAGAAATGAGGAAAAAATTTAAAAACCTTATAAACCATTGAATAAACAGCTTGCATCAAGAGAGGTGTTCTGTGGCTCCTCTACACGTATCTCAAAGTCAAAATCTAATTGCGGTGTGCCTGCCAGTTGTCACCAAAAGTGGCAGTGCACACAGGATTAAATGCAAACTGCCACTCCTGTTCTCTCAGGACAAAACATCTTTTTCCATCATGTTCTTCCTTCTCAAGCATTCTGGCAGATGTATTCTGGCTGTCCTGGGGATTCAGGGAGACCAGTAATTGGGGCCTAAAAGGGCCAGGTTTGTGTGCATCTAGATTCCAGAGTGAATAAGTTTTGGGAATACAACTGAATTCAAGTGACGGCCTCTGCTGAGAGGGGTTTCAAGAGGGCCTTGTAGCATAACATGATGTGGTAATGCATGGGAATAACTTGTCGTTAGAGACTTTTTGACATTTCATCATTATTTTATTTTCATGCTTTGAATGCCTTCACTAAAAGGTGGGAACAGAGATATAGTGAAGTTGCCACTGAAGTATTGCTGCTCTCTTTCATAGATGACTTGAGCCTCACCTATGCATGCCTTAATATTTGGTAGCATTTAATATTGTGTTTATCAACTTACCACTTGACTTTGATTCTTTGCTAGCCAAACAAACTAAATGGAGAATCTCGACCCAAGGAGCTTCAGCCCTAACACATTAATTAGCACATGCCTGAGTCTGACTGGACAGCCCGGGGCACAGTGAGTCAACAGACTGGGCTCTGGTCTACTCTGGGCTTCTTGCAGGAATTGTTTGTAAGCAGGGGCATCCATTACAGTGGGGGGACTTCTCCCCTTAGGTTCACAGGACTTAAGGTCTGATTTCAGGATATGCTGCCGTGCTCTTACAAGTCACTTCTCTACATCCTTTGATTCTCTAGGTCCAGTCCTGGCCTCCTTAAGCTGCCAGGCTCCTCCTGTAGGGCTTCTGAATCAGTGTCACAGAACGTGAGGTAGCCAGAGAGCATCTTAATACCTTCATGGTAAGTGCAAAGATACAGCTGTCTTCTTCTTTTGGTTGAATTTACGCCTGCTTTTCTTGCTGTGTGTTTTAGGCTTTTTGGTACATATTACCAAAATAATAGGACTCTATTTTTCACTTTTGCATAGGGTCTCCTGGGGCAATGAATAATTAAAGAAAGCCCAGAGAAGATGATGAAGCTGTCCCCTGAGGCTGAAAAGTTTAACCAATCATCGGGCTCCCAGCATGCCAGTCTATTTAAAAGTGGGCTGAAAGCATACCCCCAAAACTCTTTGTCTGCCTACCATACCTGGATATTATGATGGTAAAAGCTGAGGTTCACAGGATGGAAGTGCAGGCTGTTCCCTTGAGCAACAGCTGCCTAGGCCACTTCACCTGGATGTCTAACAGGCATCTCAGCCTTAACGTTTAAAGCAGAATTTTTGGTTCCTTCCTCACCCCATACCATCACATCTGTCCTTCCCTCTGGACCTCACCAAATGGCCAAAAGCTAATTGCTACATGTATCTGAAATCTGACAACTCGTCATTTTCACTGCAATTGTAATCCAGAGCATTATCATTTCTCCTGGCTTATAACAGCAGCCTCATGAAGGCCTTCCTTAACCCCTGACTTCGCTCCTCTGCCCACTTGCCTCTAGTAGCTTCCATAGCAAGTAGAATAAAATACCTAGTCTTTACCACAGCTTGCAAAATCCCTGCACAATCTGGCCTCTGCCTACCTCTCTGACTTTATCTCCTATAACTCTAACCAGCTACCCTGGTTTTCCTTAAACATGCCAAGCTTGTTCCAGCCTCAGGGCCTTTGCATCACCCGTTTCTTGGCCAGGAAGCTTCATCTCCTGGATTTTCACACAGGTGCAGTCTTCTCATCATTGCAGTTGCAGTTCAAATGTCTCTACCTTAGAGATCCCTGCCTTGTCTGTCCTAGCTAACCCAACCCTCCACCCATCACTCTATCTCATCATTCTGTTTATTTTCTTCTTAGCACTCATTACTACTAGACATTTTATTATTTATATGCTTACATGTGTATTGTTGATCTCTATTAACTAGACTATAAGCTTCACAAGAGCAGGACTATAAGCTTCACAAGAGCAGGAACTGTGTAGTCTCTAGTGATAAAAATGATATTAGCTTCAGCAAAGAAGCTTAACGTCCCCAAAGAGTAGTACCAGCCTTTATAACCAGCAAGAGAATATGTATCAGGTACTCCAACTAAGTCAGTTCGGGAGCCAAGACACAGGGTCCTCTGGGAGAGGTGCCGGAATCGCAGGAAAAGTGCGAGAGAGCTTAAAACAAAAGGACGGCATCGTCGGAGATTTTGTTCATTCAAAGGAAGAGGGCAAGACCCAGACAGCACAATGGACACTGCACAGCAGAAAACAGCACAGCCCGGAGCCGGAGGAGGCAGCTGGAAGAAGCAGCGGAAAGCACAACAGATAGACGATGGAAGAG